CCGTTTACTCCTTTTTTCAAACATTCAATATACAAATATATAGTCCACTTTTAGAAAGGAGACCACAGTCATACAAAGGCTGCCTGGGAAAATACCGAAATGAGCAGAATAGGTGGCGGTGACCGGATTCTAACGATTATAACCACCGGACCACCGCGGTGTGAGCAACGAAGGGGAAAGTTTCACCCTTGATATAACGTTTGAATGAAGGTTTATAGTCACGGTTATTGTGTCAATCTGCGTTCAGTTTTGATTTACAACTAGGACCTTGGATTTGCGAGTAGACGACATCCATCTACAAGGAGTTTTCATTATCGATGTTTACGACATTTTGTGGTACAGGTGGGATTGATTGAATGGGTTTAATTTCGAGGTAAACCGCGTTGTAGTTGGAAATTTATCAGGTAGAAAATCATTATTACATCGCACTCAGATCAGAATCCTCGCTCTTCAAGCGACGCATTACGGTTCCTTAACACTTATTCAGCGGTCATACCGATTTTTGTTTGCAGATTTACAGACGACAGTTAGCAGAGGCATGAGGAGCAATTCTGTGGGGTAAGTGTCCCTCACTTGCCAGACTGAGGTCCAAAATACTGTTAAATTGGTTAGTTTGAGATATGGGAGGTCTGGACAGTGAACTGACAACACTGGGAGTTTCTGTCGTTTTTTATCAAGCTGAATAGCTTGTAGATGTGTCTATGCTTTGAATTTGTACCACAGAGGTTCATTTTCTTTTCATCTGCCTCAAAACAGGCCCACTCTCCTATTCATCTTGAACCCACATACTCTTTCTTCATGTGAGTTTATCACCAATTGGTACAGTTCACTTCACTGTATTTCACTGTATGGTTTCTATTCCTGGTTTTAGATAACTGCGTCCTTTTTGTAAACGTCTTCTGTACTATGATGTGCCGAAAAGCGTTACGGGTAACCACCAATTCTTTTGTTCCATTCTACTCAAATTGGTAGTTCACTCACCTGGAAAGGATAGCGCGCAGACGATGTCCTTCGTGTCACTAAATGCGTCTTTGATTCCCTCTATCGGTGCTCCCAGTACAGTGGATCCTTGTGTTGAGTTCAAAAATGTGCCACACTCTCAACTGACTTGTTCATACAATCGAAAATGGAATGGCATAGCAAGGGCTTCACAATCTGGCTAGATCGAACAACCAGTTTGTTTTTACAAAGAATCAAATGGCATACTAAAATGTGGTTGAACTTTGGACTCCTGGCTTCGAATAAACAGAGTATCCAGTGGACGGCGAAGATCTTTATATCACATATCAAGCAGTAGTACCTTAAAGGTTGAATTCTATGCGATGAAACCAACTCGGAACGACAAACTTGGTGGGTCAATCGAGTTGCGCAATCCATCGGCGTTTAACACGGAACGGATTGGTCAAAACAGTACAGGTATTGATCGAAGTCGTGAAACACCCGGACACTTGCATGACATTTGTTCCTCTTGGCGTGTATTGTTTCAAACCTCATGCATGAGATCAAATATACTGTTGCACAATATCAGACGCAACATACCCCTAATAATATGTGCACTTACGTTTTTACTACTATTGGTCGAATGACATTAAAATAGACGATTTCTCGTCTGCGACGACGATTACTGACCAATCAGTTGTGAAATAACAGAGCCTCAGTTAAAAGCAAACATTAGAATTTATATGTAGGCTTTATGCACAAACCCAGTCCCCCTCCCGCTCATGAACAAACACCCCGTGTGTAGAATTTGCATTGGAAATAACAAATTAGTTGCTTTCCAGCACGATCATCCAAAGCTAAATTATTCCTGAGATATCTCAATCGAGCTGATCCAACTTACCACGGGAACTACCATTTCCATATACCCAGAAAGTACCAGATAGTAATAATTTAATCAATTCCTAATCAA